AGCGGAAACTGTAAGGGTGGAGAGAATTCATCTTCAATCGCGTCCTCTATGTGTGCAGGAAATGGTAGAGGGGTTTTGTGGAACGGTTTGGCAACCGTTCCACTGTTCATCTGCTATAAATTTTTCTTTTTTTTTTGTTAAAAAATTAAATTGGGTTGTATTTTGGGCTATTTAGATGTATTGTGGGTGGACTTTTTTTTAGCTATAATTGGGCTAATTGTATTAAATAGTTTTATGGGTTGAATTAAAATATTTTTTAATTGTTTTAAATTTAATTATTGTAATTAATATGGTAGATAATAAAAAATTGAATAATTTATTAAATAATATGATAGAATATTAATTAGATTTTAAATTTCCTTAAATAATATTTCAAACAAACAAGTTAAAATTACAAAATAAGAAAAATGCATTAATCTTATTATAATTTTATATGTAATTTTAAAATTTTGATTTAAATTTATTAATTAATCTTATTAACCAATAATTAATATATATACATAGATATGTAAAATTTAGCATGCATAATGCATTAAAATGTAACTTGTAGAGATTATTTAGTAAACTAATTAAATTAGAAAAGAATATGCTTGGAATATTCTTTTAGAGGGGAATTATAGAAGGAATGAGTTGGAGTTGCTGGTACTGTTGAAACTGTATAACTAATCGGATTTTACCGTAGAAACTGTATGTACAGTGGGCATAGTTGGAGATGTTGTTATAGAAATGATTGCACATTGGTATGATATTATTAAAAAAAAAAAAAGAAAAAAAAAATGGAAATGGTCTCAAATGAAATATCTCAAACTTGAGGCTGAGATTGATTTTCGTCTCATTCACAGTGTAAATAAATAATGCTGGACAAGGCACAACAGCAAGGCTAAAAAAGAAAGCTTTAAAAGAATGGTGAAAGAGTAGTCACAATCAGGCAAGATGGTCAAATCTTGTTTGAAGGGCTAACAAAAAGACACGTAAAGCGTGGGCCCACTGGACAGTGCAAATTGTATGGGCCGATCCTCATAATGTTGAGGCCCTTCTGAATCAATAGTCAATACCTTTACAGATTGTTGTGTTTAACGTTCATGCCTATTAAAATTTAATTTTAATATTTCCAACATAAGGAAAATTAGAAAACTTGTGAAGGATTACACATATATCTGAGTTTGAATCATAGTTAAAAGTGACAACAAAATAAAAATTAGAAATTACTAGTTATGGCTTATGAATTTAAGTTTAGGCTAAGGCAAAGTTCAATAAACAACATTTTATAAGTGTCCAATGCGATAAGTAAAGTTCTAAGCGAGTTTTGTCGTGTTTGAACTTCTGATACTCGAACTCGAACTCAAACTCTAATCAATATGAACTGAGTCCTTTTTGCTAAGTCAATGAGTCAATAAACAAGCTTGAGTTCGATCAACGAGCTTCAAGACCAAAATTACGCTAAAATTATCAATTCTCAATTAACAGAATTTTGAACTATGTTAACAAATAGTTAACTAACTCTGACCATAAACAACGGACTCAAATTAATTAAGGCAAAAGGTAGAAAAATCTTTCGTAGATAAAACATCTTATATTGCCTTTCTTAGAATGAGGAGCATGTTAATTCTGTTGCATAAAACCGCCAACAAAAATACTCCATTTATGTAAGATAACAGAGTCAGTGTGTGTGTGAGATAAATATATAATTATATATTATATACATACACGTCACTACTGTTGCTCGAGTCCCATCAAATCTGTATACTGTGTTTGGAAGTATTTATTTATTTAATTTATTGTCCAGTCTCCATTTCCGACTATTCTAATCAATAATCATTTCAAGAGCCCACTGCTCCACTTTAGTTTGTCCTTTTCCTCTTTCTACTTTTATTTTTCTAAATGTAGCTGCAAAAATATTTTGGATCACACGTCTTCACATCTAAAAAAAGAAAAAGAGAAAAAAAATAAATATATATATATATATATATATATAAGTGAAGCATTAAATTAAACATATAAGTGAAGCATTAAATTAAACTTGGGCTATGAGCACTTTCAATAAACAAGCTCGAATTTAGTTCGTTAATATAACTTAATAAGTCGAGTTCAAAACTTAAAAAATGAACTAGAGGATAAATAAGGAGAGTATAGAACCTTAACGAGAGAGAAACTCACAAGCTGACTTATTTTGTTTAATATATTTAATTAGTAAAAATACTATATAATCGGAGAGTAGTTATATCATCAAAATGTGAACATAGTGCTATTAAATGTGCATAACATCCAATTTTTATGGTTATTGAGATGACTTCACGCACATTCCTTATTTAGAATCTGCATTGCTTATGATTGAATTTCAACACTACTATACATATATATTTATGTAATGAATAAATATCAAACTATGTACTAGAAATTAATAGATATATATATATAGAGATATAATAAGCCCACCCTCATATCAATATGACCCTCTTTATATATATTTTGTGTTTTCTCAATTGTTTTTAATTTTACACACATTCAATTTTTATTT